ACACCTATATGCAAAAAAATGAAACTGAAACACTTTATTATGCCATATACACAAAAATAAAGTCAAAATGACTTAAAGACCTAAATATGAGATCTGAGACCATAACACTCCTAGATGAAAATATATGCAGTAATCTTTGAGATTGGACATAGCAACATCTTTCTAGATAGGTCTCCTCAGGCAAGAGAAACAGAAACAAAAATAAATTATTGGGACTACATCAAAATAGAATCTTTGGCACAGCTAAGGAAATCATCAACAAAATGAAAAGGCAGCCTACTGAATAGAAGATCTTTGCAAATGACATATCTGAGAAGGGGTTAATATTCAAAATATATAAAGTATACAATTCAACACTAAAAAAATCCAAATAATCCAGCTAAAAAATGGGCGGAGGACCCGAATAGACATTTTCCAAAGAAGACATCCAGACGGCCAACACACACATGAAAAGATACTCAGCATCACTAATCATCAGGGAAAAGCAAATCAAAACTACAACGAGATATCACCTAACACCTGTCAGAATTCTTATTATCAAAAAGACAAGAAATAACAAGTGTTAGTGAAGATGTGGAGAAAAAGGAACCCTCGTGCACTGTTGGTAGGATTTAGTCAATATAGTAAATCAGTGTAGCCACTGTAGAAAACAGGGTGGAGTTTCCTCAAAAGATTAGAAATAGAAATATGCTACAATCCAGTAATTCCATGACCCGATATCTACCCAAAGAAAACAAAAAACACTAATTCAAAAAGATATACGCACCCAGGTTTATTGCAGCATTATTTAAATAGTCAAGATATAAAAACAACCTAGGTGTCCATCAATAGATGAATGAATAAAGAAGATGTGGTGTATATGGGTATACACACACACACACACACACACACACACACACACACACACTGGAATATTGCTCAGCCTCAAAAAGAAAAAATGAGATCTTGCCATTTGTGACAAGTTGGATGGACCTAGAGGGTATCATGCTAAGTGAAATAAATCAGAAAAAGACAAATACCATATGATTTCACTTATATTAGAATCTGAAAACAAAACAAATGAACAAAGTAGAAACAGACCCATAAATACAGAGAACTGGTGGTTGTCAGAAGGGAGAGGGATGGGAAAAAGGGGTGAAAGGGAGTGGAGGTACAGGCTTACAGTTATGAAATGAGTAAGTCATGAGGGTAAGAGGTACAGCATAGGGAATATGGACAATGGTATTGTAATAGCACTATATGAGGACAGACGGTAGCTTCACTTGTGGGTGACCATAGTATGACATACAGAGTTGTTGAATTACTATGTTGTATACCTGCAACTATTGTAAGATTGTGTGTCAACCATACTTCAATAAAATAAAGGACTGAACAATCATTATGAATTAAGAATCCACTATATTGGTCAACTAATCTTTGACAAAGCAGGAAAGAATGTCCAATGGCAAAAAGACAGTCTCTTCAACAAATGGTTTTGGGAAAACTGGACAGCCACATGCAGAAGAATGAAACTGGACCATTTCCTTACACCACACATAAAAATAGACTCCAAGTGGTTGAAAGACCTAAATGTGAGACAGGAGTCCATCAAAATCCTAAAGAACACAGGCAGCAACCTCTTTGACCTCAGCTGCAGCAACTTCTTCCTAGAAACATTGCCAAAGGCAATGGAAACAAGGGCAAAAATGACCTATTGGGACTTCATCAAGATAAAAGGCTTTTGCACAGCAAAAGAAACAGTCAACAAAACCAAAAGACAATGACAGAATGGGAGAAGATATTTGCAAATGACATATCAGATAAAGGGCTAGTATCCAAAATCTATAAAGAACTTATCAAACTCAACACCCAAAGAACAAATGGTCCAATCAAGAAATGGGCAGAAGACAAAACAGACATTTCTGCAAAGAAGACATCCAAATGGTCAGCAGACATATGAAAGTGCTCAACATCGCTCGGCACCAGGGAAATCCAAATCAAAACCTCAATGAGATAATCACCTCACACCAGTCAGAATGGCTAAAATTAACAAGTCAGGAAATGACAGATGTTGGTGGGGGTGCGGAGAAAGAGGAACCCTCCTATACTGTTGGTGGGAATGCAAACAAGTGCAGCCACTCTGGAAAACAGTATGGAGGTTCCTCAAAAAGTTGAAAATAGAGCTGCCCTATGATCCAGCAATTGAACTACTGGTTATTTACCCCAAAGATACAAATGTAGTGATCCAAAGGGGTACATGCACCCCAATGTTTATAGCAGCAATGTCCACAATAGCCAAACTATGGAAAGAGCCAAGATGTCCATCGACAGATGAATGGATAAAGAAGTGGTATACATATATATACAATGGAATATTATGCAGCCATCAAAAGGAATGACATCTTACCATTTACAACGACATGAATTATGCTGAGCGAAATAAGTCAATTAGAGAAAGACATGTATCATATGACCTCACTGATATGAGGAATTCTTAATCTCAGGAAACAAGTGAGCATTGTTGGAGTGGTGGGGGGTGGGAGGGATGGGGTGGCTGGGTAATAGACATTGGGGAGGGTATGTGCTATGGTGAGTGCTGTGATTGTGTAAGACTGTTGAATCACAGACCTGTACCTCTGAAACAAATAATACATTATATGTTAAAAAAAAAAAAAAGAAGATGGCAGGAAGGGAAAAATGAAGAGGGGGAAATTGGAGGGATAGACGAACCATGAGAGACTATGGACCCTGAGAAACAAACTGAGGGTTCTAGAGGGCAGTGGGGTGGGTGTTGGGTTAGCCTGGTGAAGGGTATTAAAGAGGGCACGTACTGAATGGAGCACTGGGTGTTATACGCAAACAATGAATTATGGAACACTACATCAAAAACTAATGATGTAATGTATGGTGATCAACATAACAATAAAAAGATAAAAACTAATGATGTATGGTGATTAACATCATAATAAAAAATATTTCTTGGATCTGAAAAAAAAGAATCCACTATATTGTCAAAGGATCTAGTTTTATGACTTGTATTAAAATGTTGCCATTTATAAGTAAAGGGTTTGCTTCTGGAGTTATGGAATCACTTTGCACATGAGTCTAGGGGTATTTTGACAATTTTATTTATCAAGACTGGCAATATAAGTATTCGAATGTTGGTGATAGTGCAAATACCTCAATATTTCTTTAGCCATATTTCTGGTATCCAATCCCCTATAATATTGAAAAATAAAGAATTGCTCATTCTGATTTCTCTGCTGTGTTAGAAATGAGATCATTTGTGGGATATGCTTTTACTCTGGAGAACTGAGATTGAGATGCTAATCAGATTGGTTGATATGTGCACAGCAGATCTGTGGCTTTTAAATAAGCATAGGACTAATCTCCACTTTTTTTCCCTCAGGAATATTTTGTTTCTACCAAATCTGCTATGTGTTTAAAATGACCCAGTGAATGGAGAGAGGAATGATACTACCTTTGAAGTAGATGTTTGGTGGAATGTCTTCCCAGACCATTAACCATCTTCCCTTTCTTCCCTGAGGACAAGTCCTTCACTGGGGGCACTCTGCTCCTCAGCCATTGATAGCTGGGGTGGGGTGGCCAAAGCTGAACCCACTACATACTTTTTTTCAGAAATTAGGATCTGAGATTCAGAGACAGCCGGTGAAATCTTTGATGCACCTATAATCCTATTTACAAATGTGGAATTGCAAGTGAATATATTTTGCCACATGTAATGAAAAACAAACAAAAGTCAGCCCGTAAAGAGTGAAGGATGAAGAAGACTCAGGTAAGCTTAAAAAAGAAAAGGAAAAAAAAAAAAAAGAATTTCCTTGGTCTCTGACAACTTTCCTTACAATGACTCCTTTTTTTCTCCACATAGGCTGAGTGGATTTTATTACAACCAAAGCTTAACTAATATAAAATGCTATTTCCTATGGATGAGTGGTTTTTTTTTTTCTAGTTTTGTTTCATTTCTTTTATTTATGTACTTAGATGCAGAACATCTGTAAGTGCTGGAGTGTACTCAATCAGGTTTAAATGTTGTTGTGATCACTTGCTAGCAAAGTATATTGATTTGGATGTACTCATACTAAAAATTTACTCTGTATCTGAAATTCAAATTTAACTGGGCATCCTTTCTTTTATCTAGCAACCTTATTTTTGACATAGTTTGTTCCTTTGTAAAATGGAGGTAATAACCAAATCAGCAAAGATGTTGTTAAAAATGTCAAGGATATCATAAACATTATTTAAAATAATGTTTTAGAAATGTGGTTTATTATTTTCTTTCATCTTCCCTTTTACCTGTGCTGAATCTATGACACAAGAAGGTGTTGCTTACAAAGACCACCCATTGGGAGTAAATGGTTCATTTTGGAACATGGGGAAATGTTCTATACCTTTTATACAACAAGGTCTTTATTCTCAGATTAGAGAATTTGGAAGGCCATATATTTCTGTCTACTTGACTTCACCTAGGCATCCCATCCCAGAATACTCTAATATTCATTCTTGTGCCGGGCATATAGCTAGGTCTTAGTTATATACAAACTGGTTTCCAATTCAAACCAACATCTCCCCATCTGATCTTTCTCACCTTCTATAGAAAGAGATGAAGAAAGAAAAAGCATAAGGAATAAAGGAAGGAGATAATATACTAGTTTACTATTTGCCTGCTTAAGGATAAAGAATGTAAGATTCTTTATTTCTCATCTCTTCTGTCTAATTCCTTCTCATTTTTTTTTTTTATCTTGATGGCTTATATTCCCTGACTGGACAAACCCAACAAGTACTGAAGGACTTCTTTAACACAGCTCACTCTAACATGTTTTCTGCTTGAGGGACAAGGGACATAGAGCAATGAACCTTCTTTACAGAGCATTCATCATGCATTTCTTTATTTATCACTCTAGATCCAGTGGGATTGGATGAGACTTTTGTCTCTCCCCAGTGTGGGCTTGCTGATCCACCACTAAGCAATGGGCATAAAAGTGGCATACTTCTGTTTTTATTTTCCTGTTCAAAGTCACCATCTCTGGAGATGCTTTTCAAGTAGTGAGCTAGGGGCTTGTGGAGAATATCAACAGGCCTTAGTTTGGTTTTGAAGAAGCAGGGGCATTCTCCTCTGTGCTTTCCTTCATTTTTTCCTTCCCATTTTCTCTCACAGTTTCAGTTTCACCTAAATGTGTCTGGGATGATAGTTTATTGCTCTGAGTCAATACAGCTTGCTTAGAATCACTAATGGAAATAGTTTTTGGCTCCAGATGTCATCAAAGGTTTTGTTGTAGTCTGGTGGACTGGCTTAATGGTAGGAGAATGATTTATGTTTGTAGGTTTCTCTGATGTTGGCACTATATTTATTATTTCATATGGACTCTGAGATGAAGTATCCAATTTGTAATAAGAAGTGCTGAAAGGGATGGCACAAAACACAAGATCCGAGGGCAGGAGCTTAAAGTCATTGGCTGGCCGGGTGATCACAAACCTGTAAGAAAAGCCAAAGATGACTCCAGAGCCTCTGCAGCCGGGACAGTTGTGGCTACAGGCAATGGCCCAAACAAGGAAGTCTTTCTGCTGGGCCAGAGGAGGAAATGTTTTTTGTTCTGCTTTGCTTCATTGGTTTCTTATTAAGAGTAAGTACCCCTGACATAGGGCAACAGAAGTCCTAGACTAGGAATTAGGAGACTAACATTCACTCCTGCCTCTGAACCCAAGCATCTCTGACCTGAGTTTGGCATGGCATCTCCCTTCCTCGGGCCTTGATTTTTTCATCATTTTAATGGGAGAGGGATAGGACGGAGATGTGGACTGACTGATCCCTAATGGTCTTTTGGGCTCCAGGTTTCTCTGCTTTTAATATCCACACTAATAAATTCAGTCAGCCCAATATTGAGCACTTGGCCAAGCTTTATAAAAAATCAGAAGATTACATACTTCCAGCTATTTCCATTCTAGCTTAGGCCTACCCTAATATGCCACAAACTTTCACACACAATGCACTGCGGCCAGTGTGGCAGGGGGAAGAATATTAAACAGAAGTTTTATTTGAAATTTTGACTAGTAAGCAAATAGTGAATGTCAATGAGTCTTTTTTTTTAATTTTTATTTTTTTAATTTTTTTATTGTTATGTTAATCCCCATATATTACATCATTAGTTTTTGGTGCAGTGTTCCATGATTCATTGTTTGTTCATAACACCCAGTGCTCCATGCAGAACGTGCCCTCCTCAATACCCATCACCAGGATAACCCATCCCCCTCCCCCCCTCCCCTCTAGAACCCTCAGTTTGTTTTTCAGAGTGCATCATCTCTCATGGTTTGTCTCCCCCTCTGACACACTCCCCTTTTCAATGAGTCTTAAAGAACACCCAGAGGCTGGACCTGCATAAAAAGACTTCATAGGGAAGCAGGATGCCTTAGCCTAGTATCAGGCACATAGCAAATTCTCAATAATGTGAATTAATTAACACACCAGTGTTCATGTCAGAACACTGAGGCAGATTAACCTTTCATGCCTTTCATCCTGCATTTCTTCATTGCTGTCCCGAGTGGTCACCTCTTTTTTCCTGAACAACCATCTCAGGGCACCTCTAACCTCTTTTTGTTGAATGATCTTCCCCCTTTTATCTTTCCCACTGAGTCCCCATAATGTCTATAATAGTTTAAGCAAGACCTACTATAGTCAAAGACTCCCTTTGAAACAGAAATATCATTTCCTTCCTGGAGGTCCTCTCAAGTATAGGCTGCACGTTCTCCCAATTACTGAGCTCCATGGGTTTTCTGGAGGTGTTGGAGCAAGGGCATGGAGTTCAGAGAGAGAGAGAGAGAAACCAGCATCATTCGTGCTTCCCAGTACTGCTTCCAGAACACCAGGGCTCCCTCAGCATCTTTGTGATTAATGCTCTATAGCCGTATCACCCTCCCACTCGATTCATTGGTGTCATCTACAGACCTCCGTGTTTATTTAGGCCTGTGGCACTTGGGACACTTTTTCTTTCAAACTCTAGTGCTGCTATCATCTCAGCAATGGCCATGCCTATACTTCACGGGGAAATCCTGGTGTTACACACAAATTCCTTTGAGCACAGCGCTCACCTATGGCTATGTTTGTCTTGGCACCCATTCTTTTCCTTCCTTTCTTTGATGAGTAGAAAAGTCTTCTTTCCATTCAAGACTACCCCACTTTAAGTATCTTGGTTTTGTTCCCCTTAGGAAAGAGAACAAGTTTCCTTCAATCTTCTTCCACTCTATTGTTTTTAATCTCTCCTACTGAATCTTGTCCATTCCCACTGTGAGGATCCTAGTTCGGACCTATATTATTGTGTTGTCTGTAGATTGCACACTCTCTTTTCCCCTCCTGCCCTCCACATGCATTTCCTCTATGTTCTCCTACACTGTGGTCAGATTGCTCTTTCAACTGAAATCTGAGCATATCGTTCCCATAACTTATACATGTAAAACACAGTGGTCTAGAAATGAGGCAGTTAATAAACATTTACCTAATGAGTCCAACAGAAAACAAAATCTTTCCAATGTGCACAGTGGCTTTCAGCTTTAAGAAGTTGTATAGACAAGCTGATACAGCCACTCTGGAAAACAGTATGGAAGTTCCTCAAGATGTTAAAAATAGAGCTACCCTATGACCCAGCAATTGCACTACTTGGTATTTACCCCAAAGATACAGATGTAGTAAAAAGAAGGGGCACATGCATCCCAATGTTCATAGTAGCAATATCCACAATAACCAAACTGTGAAAGGAACCAAGATGCCCTTCAACAGACGAATGGATAAAGAAGATGTGGTACATATATACAATGGAATATTACTCAGCCATCAGAAAGGATGAATACCCACCATTTGCATCGACATGGATGGAACTGGAGGGGATTATGCTAAGTGAAATCAGTCAAGCAGAGAAAGACAATTATCATATGGTTTCACTCATATATGGAACAAAAGGAATAGAGCAGAGGACCACAGGGGAAGGGAGGGAAAACTGAATGGGAAGAAATCAGAGAGGGAGACAAACCATGAGAGACTCTGGATTCCAGGAACCAAACTGAGGGTTATAGAAGGGAGGGGTGTGGGGAGATGGGGTGACTGGGTGATGGGTACTAAGGTGGGCACGTGTTGGGATGAGCACTGGGTGTTATATGCAACTAATGAATTGTTGAACACTACATCAAAAACTACTGATGTATTATATGTTAGCTAAGAGAACATAATAAAAATAAATAAAGATAAAAAAAAGAAGTTGCATAGACATGGATGAGGGGTAAGTTACAAAAGAATTCTGATTTAAAATCTGGGTCTACATCTCAGGTTTCACTGGGGACACAGACACCATTATCCTTACATGGTCAATATTAATTTGATCATCAGTTCATTCATGTTACTTACACCCAGCTTCCTTCTTCCTATATCACTGTCTACTTCCCCTGGACCCTTCTTTGTAATTATGGACCCTGAGCTCTGGACTTCTCTTTCACATTGAATAAAGTAGCTTTGGCTCTTATGCTTGGATAGATGGGTAGCACTCTCCAAGCAAGGATACTCCCCTTTTTTGTTCTGGCTTGTTCTCCTCTTCATCTATCATGCGGTATAAACCAAGGCACAGGATTCCAAAATTATCTAATGAGCCACAGAACACTTGCCCAAATGTCTTTCTTGGCTGGGGAGAAAAGAGAAAAACATGTGTCTGTTGGTACTTTAATTAAGCAATAACAAGCACTTACTGGAAAATTATTATCTTTCCTTGTAGTAAAAGTTTGGAAGACCCAAAACTGTTTCCTAATATCTTTTATGGTGGCAGTGTCAAGTAGGAAATTAGGTTTATGATAAGTTTTGAGCATCTAATCCCAGTGATTGTTTTTATCACTGTAATCTTTCAAGAGCCTCTTGTGGGCATGACATAGCATGTTGTTATGCTAGTCTTTATTACTACTGCTATTTTGGTAACCATTAAAGAAGTAACAATGAGTAAAAGATTGGAAAATTCAGTTTTCAAGCTATATAATGGGTTGGGATGTTCAGTGACCTCCAGAGAGTGATCTTATCCTACTCTACCACAGTTGACAGTCCCAAGCATTCTTCTTGACACTACTCTCAGGCTATAGCCAACAAGGGCGCGATGGATAGACAACAGGGTCAAAGCATCAACAAATGCATTCAATGAAGTCACGTGAGAACAGTTTGTTTCATTATGTGATTCCCTAAGGTAGAGAACAAAGGACAAGATACAAGTGAAGAAAGGAAGGAGAACAATGTTGACCAGTCCACTGTTATCTCTGATACTGACAAGAAGTTGCCAGTGGCAGTTGTCCTGGGCTTATAGTCACTCCCAAGTCAATCTCGGGTGAGGAGCCCAGGACCACAGAAATGCAAAGGACCAAAATGTGCTAAGGGAATTTTGCCATATTGTTTGCACCTGCAATTCAGATGTATGGAGCATGGGGTTTTCCCTTTTTGGCAGTATCTATCAAGACATATCAGGTGCAGAGACCTGGAAGAGCCTGCTCCATGTGAAGGGGGTTCTGCTGATGTCCTCTGAACAAACAAAAAATATTTCCTTAAAATGCCCTGCCCTGGACAACTGGTAGAGAGCTAAATGTAATGTCAACCAAAGCTAAACCAAAAGGCACTGATAACTACATTACTCATTCCCAGGCTAGACTCCACTATGATCCCCAAACACCCAGATGCCCCACTACATATGCCATAATGACCTTTTCCCCTTGCATTTTCCACTGGCTAGCTCAATCAGAGTCTTAGACCCAAACACAGAACCCTTCTGCCTGACTTAGGCTGACATGATCAGATTTCTTTATCAGCTCAGGTATAGGAAGAGTGAGCAGAGCCAGACTGCCTTGGACGGTCCCCTGCTTTTCCAGTGGGACACAGTGTGGCCTCAGACAAGTCCTTGTTTCTCTGAGTCTTAGCTTCTTGATCTGTTCAGTGCAATTAATAACAATGCCTACCATATAAATCCTTGGACAGGTTAAGTAAACAACAACAAAGCAGACAGGCACAGGGAACATGCTCAGTAAATATTAGTTATTATAATTATTAATACCCTTGCTAAGGTACAAAGTTATTAGATTTCTCAGATGCTTCCTGCACACTTGGATTTTTTATCTGGAAGATGAGGATAATAATACCTGTCTTACCTACCTCCTGGAACTGTAAAAAAAAAATAAATAGGATATGTGAAAATATACTTTAAATTCTAAAATACTCTATGAATACAAGGTTGTATTAGCTTTTGCTATTCTTTCTATGCTCTAGGCCATCTAGGAACCCAAATAGCCTGAATCATTTTCAGAAACCCAGCATAGTAAGGAAGTGGGAACCTTTATCATGATAGGAGTAGACTCACTTTAATGTCTGACAAAATGGTTTCAGTTAAGGACAGAAGCCCCAGCTTACACCGCGCTCTTCCAGACATGGCTGAAGTGCAGCTGTGGGTCAGCCCACAGATACTCTTATCCAAATGGTGTTCCAGCTGAGAACTTATCCCTCCTGTCACCAGCATCTGAAGTAATTCCAGGACGTGATAATTGTAGAAGGCCTGGAAAGCAAGGACAAGCCGTGTGCAAAGTCAGAAGAGCCAGCTCAGACACTGTGGAGGTGTACAGTCTTGCAGACTTAGGGGGCATCGCTGTTTGAAATGGACCCAGTGAGGCAAAACAGGGTCTCTAGTCATCATTATTAAAATCAACTAAAAGCTCTCAGTTTAGGTAGGGCACTGGGTTAGGCAAGGTACAGAGAAAATACCATTGACTCAGCTCCTGCTCCCTTGGGGTCACACTGTGGCAGAAGAAAGTGGGTAATGATGCTAACACCAAGGATGTCCCCTCCTCCAAAAATAGCCAGAGGAGTATGTCAGACCACAGATACCCTAACAATCATCAACATATATTTAAAACTATGTATTTAATGTGACTGCTATAGATTTTTCCTTAGGGGACTACTGACATTATTACTGTCATCTGTAACTGAATCTTCTGGATGTGAGCCTACTTATATTAAGTAGGTTAAAAGATGAGTTCAAATGCCTTTTCCTCCCTAATGTCCTGACTGATGGTCTCCTCCTTTTGACTGTGACCTGCCTGAGGACAGATATTGACTTGGGTCTTATTAATATTTAGGTCTCCTGTAGCTCTTAGGTACTACACAAATAGTAGGTGTTGAATAAATTAATAGAATTTTGGAATCTTTGGTATCAAAATGAAACCAAAGGAGGATGTGTGGGGCAACTTCTTATTTTGAAAACTACTTTGAGTCTGAATAAACCTAGCTATGTTCTTAAACCCAAAGGATTCCTATCATATTTAGTGTAAACTAGGCATTGGCATACATGTAAATAGCACTGTAATATATTACCCATTAGATTTTCCCAAATCTACTGAATACGTAGTGTTTTAAATGTTCCACCTTTTGTTCTATCTAAATTAGACTTTTATTCCAGTAGACATGAGGATTTATATGTTTATATATTACTTATACAAAAGTCAATACTTTTGTTTTTATTAAAAATAATAGGAATGACCTCAATTGTTACTGTCATAGAAATTTTCCAGTTCACTTTCTCTAAATTCAGGGACTTGTCTTCTGCAGACTGAATTATGATAGGGGCCTGTTTACTAGTCTTCCTGTCTTGTTTTTATTCTTACTTGCAATCCCTGTTCAAAATGTTTCCAGAGAGATTCTCTAGGACACAAATCAAATCATGCTGTCCCCCTCCTCAAACCTTCAATGTCATATCCCTTCTATAAAACCAAGCTCATCTCCTCCATTAATGGTGCCCTCCAGTGCACGACAGTCTATCTGTTGCTCTAGCTACATATTTACTCCTTCATGCCTTTGCTTTGGAACATCTGACTGATTGCTCATCAAATTCTATGGCTGGCAAACTCTATGCTGGTCTCCCCATCAGAAAGAAGTTTTCCTTTCTTTGTGATTCCATAGCCACTGGCTTTTGCTCCATTTCATCCTTCTGTATTTTATAGTTAGTAGTTTGTCTGAAACACACCTGACTTTGAATCTTAGTTGAGATTAATCTTAGCTGAATAACCCTAGCTATGTTCTTAAACTATTTCCCAAAGGATTCCTATCATATTTAGTGGTAAACTAGGCATTGGCATACATGTAAATAGCACTGTAATATATTACCGAGTAGATTTTCCCAAATCTATTGAATAGTGTTTTAAATGTTCAACCTTTTGTTTTATCTAAAAACTTAGCTGAATCCTAGCTGAGTACCTTTGGACAATTCATGTCCAGAAACAGTTTTATAACCTTTAAAGTTGACATGATAATACCATCTTTGAGCCTTGTTTGTGGGATGAAATGAGATATACCACACACATTACTAAATTCTGTTCTCATGTATCGGGATTGCCTGGAAGGATATTCATGAGTGTAGAATTCTGGGATCCAAGATCCATTGGATCAAAATGTACAGAGAAGAGTGGGAATCAGAAATTTAAAGGGCACCTCTGGTGGTTCTGCCACTGGTTGGTGCTCAGATCACCCTCTGGGGCAACACTTCCTTAAATGATATGGTCTTTCAGAGGACAGACTTTTGTCAACTTAACATTCATGTCCTCAGGGGTGCATTGAACAAGGCAGGTGTTAAACAGCTGTAAGAATACTAACTGCAATTGGCAGTCAGTTTTTAACAAATAAATATTGCTAGTAAAATGTAGAAGCCATTGGAACAAGAGGGTCTAAGAAATAATATAAGGTATATGAATTAAGATAGAATAACAGGAAAATAAGTTTTAAAGTAGTTTTTAGGTTAAAAGATGACTTCAAATGCCTTTTCCTCCCTAATGTCCTGACTGAAGTGATCCCCTGACTGATGGTCTCCTCCTTATTTCTTCTTTGTTCCATTTTGCTGCTACCCAGAAGGGTGCTTATGGAATCAGCTCCCTGAAACCCAGGCACGAACAGGGGATGTAAATCCAGGTTGAGCCACAATCCGTTTAAGAACAAGTGGCCATGGTGTAGGGTGATCAAACATAATGCTGTTAGAATAATTCTCCACTGATTAAAGAAAAGGTATAAATTTTAGGGTTATCCTGGTGTCAAGGGCTCTAGGGAAACATGCACTTTACATATTTAACTGAGAGAGGCTTAGCTTTTGAATATATCATTTCTTCAGTTTTGACATCAAAAGGATTGCAATTCTATATTGGGGAAAATAAAGGGATTTACATGTCACCCTTCCTCCATGAGCTTATCTAGTATTCTTATTATTCAGGGTTCTATGGTATTGATCTCTTTCTTTTTTCCTGTCTCCTTTCCTCCCTTCCTTCCTCCCTCCTCCCTTCCTTTTCTTTTTTCTTTCTCACGAAAATAGGAAAGTTGAAATGTGCTTCAAATATTTTAAGACCTTTAAACTTGGATACTGTTTCTAATATAATCAGATTTACTAGAATTTGGACTTTCAGGGTTAGAAAATGTTGCAGCCCAAAGTGTTTTGACTTCTAGCTACAATGAAGCTGTAGGTCTCTCTCACAACTTACAATATTACTTAATAACATAGGTACTAACATCCTGGCTACTTGCTGCTTTTTATTCTGAAAATCTAATCTCAAAAGGCCTTAAGATCAAACATTCTCTGAGAAATACTTCTGAGAATGCAGCTACGTGGTAAGAAAACTGCAACTAATCAGCTGAATGACCTTAAGGGAGTCACGTAACTTCTGTGAGCTTCAATTTCCTCACTTGTAAGGAAATTGCTCCCTACGTTCATGTCCAGTTCTGAAGTTCTATTGTTACAAAGCTGTATAAGAGTCCTGCTTATGGACCTGAGTGTCTCTCCATATTTTTTTATAACATTAAGCTGATAAAGGATTAAAAGTGAATCTGAATTCTATTTTCTAACTATATGTTTTCCCATCTGGGGCAGGAGTTTACAGTAGTCTACCAGAGGGTATTTGAGGCCCTAGTGTCAGCTGTATCAGATTTGGAGGGCAACACTATTATTTTATGTTGAAAAAAAAAATCAAAGGTGTATCAGGGGATAGAATAAAAAACTACATGAAATCCAAAACAAAACTTCAGTAAAAGCAGTGACGACTTCACAGCACATTATTCAGGCTTTGTTCTATCCTCGGGACTTGCACATTCATTCCTTTGCATTTATTAAGGGGGAATGGAGAAAAAGGGGGAGAAGTCAAGAGTCAAGACCAGTGATCTCATCTTGTTTCTGACTTGGCTGAGGTGTTAACCACCTTTTTCCTGAGGGAGTCTGTTCTGAAATGCATCTGTATTCCCCCTTGCACTTCTGTGTAGTGTGGGCATCAGGGAAACAGACCCCGAATCATAATTTCTGACCATGCAACAATGGAAAACAGATCTCTTGGTGCATTGAGCTGGGCAGCAGGTTGGAAGAACCACCTGGAAGGTGTTCTTTGGGGAGGGGAATTATGGGACAAAAGGCACATGCAAAATTGGGTGGGATGGTGGACTCCTGTCTCTCATATAGGACTCTTGACTGGAAACTGGAAATCTATCTCAGAAGAGAGAACAGGATTCTGGTCCTTTCATTTTATGCCTCCCTCTCTGTTGGTCATATATTCTAAATTCTAGGGAGCAGTTTTCCAAATCTTAACAACAGAAATCATCCTTCACATCAAATCCTAGGCAGAAGCCTCATGCACAGCACAGATGAAAGCAGTTGTTCTGACTGGGGGGACAGGTGCAGGCAGGGGGGCATGATGGGGTAGGTGCACCCTGGGTTCCTTCCTGCTTGTCTGCTCAGCACTGCCTGAGCACCAGGGGGTAGATTCCTTTAAGCAAAACTTGAAAATGAATGCACTAGAAGGAAACTCATGATCACAGAAAGAGCTTTCTGGAAGGACAGAGGACTATGACAGCGAGGTCTAACTCTGGGATCATACAAAGTGGGGCTCGAAAACAAGCTTGTCATCTGTAAGTGCTGTGACTTTGGCACTTTATTTGTCCTTCTAAGCCTCAGATTCTTGATTTGTAAAATGAAGCTCATAATTGTATTCTCCTAATTGGTTGAAAGAAGAATTAAACAAAGTATTGTAGCAAAGACCTTGGCCCAAAGTAAGTGCTTCAGAGATGTTATTACTCTTCCTATCACAGTTGTTGCTCTGTTTATTAATACTATTCCAACAAGAAAATTTATTGGGAGAAGTTACCTTGAGGTCTGTGTTGGGAAAGACCCGTAGGTGTGATCTGGAGGCAGAGAACTGTGATCATTAGTGGCAGCTGCCATGGGAATGTGTTAGAGGAGTGATAACCATGGAGCTCAGAACTGCTATCCTAACTTTACGGGGAGACCAAGATCTTTGCCTTTCTCTCCCACTTCTCAGCAAGAAGATGCTCCAATATGTATGGAGAAGAAACTGCAGTATTCACAAATGTATTCGGCAGCTACCACAGTGGTGGCTCCCAGATGTTTTCATGTCAGAGGATAAATGGTCTCTTCTCCAAGGCTACTGTTCTCATTTCCACAAGATCAGGTGTAAGGTCAGAGACTAGCCAAGATCAAAGAGTACTCAGAAGACTCGAGATGATAGAATTGCAGGCCCAGACCTGGCCTTTGGGCTCTTTCTTTCTGTGTGGCTGGACAATGGGAAGTCACCCCCACCCTTAGAAAGCCAGTAGCACCAGACCTAGGGGCAAGGGAATCAAGAGTGGGCAGTATGACCTGGTCATTTTCAAAGGTCAAGTTCAGCTCATCATGGCCAGAGATTTGGGACTGGTGCTCCAAATAGTATTAAAGTGTGTTCATTTTGTTGTGTCATGAATCATTAAGGATTCAAGAGCTGAGGCGGAAGGCCACTAGGTAGTTATGCAGAAGGTCAAGACCCAAGCCAGTCCCCTTGATGGAAAGATTTGCCCAAAGCTTCATTGCTATGCTTGTGACCTCATGTGACTCCCCCCTGGATCAGGCACAGTGTGGATTTTCTCTCTCCCACAGACTTCACTGTGGGAAAGACTCCTGAGTTTTTACATAGCTTATTTCCTTTTCCAGGAGGACTAGATTGTCCTCTCCCGTGGAGAAGCCCACTGATACAATATCTGAAGGCAGCCTGGGAGGTGGTGCTACTCCTCAGTGTGGTCACAAGACCTATGGTGAGTGGGGAGAGGCCCAGCAGCTGGCTCCCATGACCAAGTTTGTGTTTGCTATGCTGGCTGACATGATGTGTTCATTTGTTTTAATGTCTTTCTCAGCCCTGTTCTGCCATCCTGCTCTCCCCACTAGCTCTAAACAGTCTGTGACTTTGTTCCTACCTGGGGCCATTGGAGTTTAATTAAGGTTCCAGTTTAATTTAAGGCACAAAGCTGCCTGCCATCTAGGGATCTCTGAGGAGAACTGGAACCTTAACCCCATTTAAAATGGTCCAGTTCATCCAAAGTCACCTTCTGCCTGACATTCCAGTCATTAATTACTGGCAAAGTAACTGACATATCAATGACAGACAGTGATAAAACCCTTTCCCTGACAGAGCTACCTTCCCAGAAAAGTCACCTGACTTGACTCCTGGCTCAGTCAAGGCTGAATGCTGCCTAACCCTTTAGGAAATTCATTGTCTACCAACTTGTTGAATGTTAAACTATCACTGACCTGGTATTATCTCTCTGAGAGCTTGATGGGATTTATGAGACACCCTCCCCCACCCCAGTGCTCAGGGAAGCAGAGCCTAAGGCAACATAATCCCCTCAGGACCAGTGGCACTGATGCCTTGAGGGCAGCGTGTGTGGCCTAGCCACGCTCCCCAAAAAGTGTAAACCGTGCCTTTGAGGCACCCACACAGTTCAGGAATGATGCCCCTTCCACACGAATTACAGAAGGCTACAAGTTTATCAAGCTGTGTTCAGAGCCCTGTGCATCTGTACACTGATATTCAGCCAGGCTGCAACCCTTCCCTTGGAAAATCTAGGGAGAAAGAGTCTGGGAGGCTTGTAGGTAACAAGGATTTCCTTTGGAGGAGTTCTTGTGGCCATTTATGAATGGATACATACAGATTTTGTGTTTTGGTCCAATTCCTTGAATGAACCAAGAGTGCTTGCAGCTCAATGCCTTTTCTTTTCTTTTTTTTTTTTTTTAAAGATTTTATTTATTTATTTGAGAGAGAGAGAATGAGAGACAGAGAGCATGAGAGGGAAGAGGGTCAGAGGGAGAAGCAGACTCCCTGCTGAGCAGGGAGCCCGATGCGGGACTCGATCCCAGGACTCCAGGATCATGACCTGAGCTGAAGACAGTCGCTTAACCAACTGAGCCACCCAGGCACCCGCTCAATGCCTTTTCTCTTCTTCCCTCTGCCTGGTGTGTTTCTTTCCCAAAGATCAGAACGGCTTGTGCTCTCTTCTCTTCTGGAGCTTGGCTCCCATGCCACCCTGTCAGTGCTGCCTTCCTTCCCTGGCCATGCTATTGAAACTTTCAGCTTCTTTCCTAATCCCTGTATTTCTCATTTCACATGGCCTTAGCCTTCTAGCTATCTGACATGCCACATATGTTCCTTATTTATCATGTTTCTGTTACTCTCCTCCATGAGCCCGAGCTCCATATGGGCACAGATGTTGGTCTATTTCATCACTGCTGTACTCCTAGCACTTGGAACAGTGTGCCCTGCACAGAGTAGGTATTCCTCCAGTGAATTAGCTCTACTTACGGAAATACCATAGTCAAGGCAAGGGACCTGCTCAGAGGCTAAAGAGGAGGTGAGAGCTGAAGAGCAACCATGTAGTCAAAAACACACCCCAGGAGTGGGGTAACATGGAGGGAGGGTTGACTTAGCTCTGAACAAAGCTCATACCGCCAAAGGCCAAAGCTCTTCCTTGGTCCCCATGTCTCCTTATGGCTGATTTCTGTATAAGCTGTTGGTGATATTTTAGAGAGAAGAGAAAGCAGTGTCTTCTAAGCTCTGAAACCAGAGCTTGGTCTGCCAAGATGCACTTGAAGCTAATAGGTAGGCACCCTGCTTTTTATATGCTCATTCCTCCTGGTACTAAGTGTTCTGGTTCTAAGGGGCAGACACGTTTTTAATCTTGAAACTGTGAAAATTTGGCTTCTCCTGCCAAGTAGTTGTGAAAAAAGATGAAATAATGTATGTGAACAAGCTTTTTCAGAGAATCAAAGAGAACTCTGAATTGTGAGGCATTCTCCTTATTCCCCAAAGCTTGAACCATCCTTCCTCCCCTCTGCAAGCTACACTTAGCTACACTTACTGTGGCCAGGAGGGAATCCAAGAAGCTGCCAGAAAAGACAGTGCCTGTGGAAAAGGATGTGCTGAGATGCAGGCTTGTTCCTGAGAAGGATTCATCCAGTCCACTCAGCTGTTCAATATAGTGGATATTGGAAGGATTTTCTGCAAGGCAAAGATGAAAAAAGGAAAGACAGGCAGACAAGCTTAAGAATACAGGACTGCCATACAAAGCAGGCCAAGGGTTGACCATTGAACCAAGAATTTGATGTCTACACTGGGGTCAATGTGGGATCTGCCCTTACTTCAGTATCTATCTATCTATCTATCTATCTATCTATCTATCTATCTATCTATCCATCTATCATCTATCATCTATCATCTTCCTTCCTTCCTCTCTCTTCCTTCTTTCCTGCCTTCCTTCCTCCCTCTCTCCCCTTTCTTTCTTCTTTCTTTCTTTTTTTCTTTTTTTTTTTTTTTCTTTCTTTTCTTTCTTTCTTCTTTCTCTTTTTCTTTCTTTCATCTTCCTCCCCTAAACACATGTATCCTTCTTGGGTACCTTCATCATCAAGGGTATATCCTTGCACCCCAGGCCCAGCTCCTCCAAACAAGGTCCCCAATGTCACCTTTATATAATTTATCTTTCAAACCAGGACACTTTTGTAAGTAAAAGGGGATACTCTCAATAACTGCTCTGGGAAAACAGGCATAAATGGGAACATATGGTTACCCCAGTTACAGACATTTTTCATAATACTATGCCATAGATACCCTAGTATTTACTTGGGTTTTTAGAATTATCTAGGTCCAGAATAAGTTAAAGTAGTACCTCTCAAAAATTTAATGTGCATATGAATCTCCTGGGCATCTTGTTACAGATGTTACAGATTGTTACAGATTCTGATTCATTGGGTCTAGGGGTGAGAATGGGATTCTAGGTGTTCAACAAGCTTCCAGATGCTGCTGATTCATGGACTACACTCTGAGTAGCAGAGATTAGAGAATCCTCCTAACTGGGGCTCATGTAGCAGTAGCCAAAGTAACCATTAGCATGTTTCTATTTGCCCCAGGCTGCAACTCAGATCCCTGGAGGAAGCCTCTGAAGGGAATGAAACTGGTCATTGTTGGGAGTACAAACAGAAACACTGACTGCCTTTGTTCCAAGACTATTGTTTCAAAAATGTTTAAGTAGCAAATAGCATTGGAAGATAAAGATAATACCTCCCACCAGAGCAAAGAGAATCATGCTTACTGCCCATTATAAAAGATTCTGGTTCCTGAAGCCTGGGGTTCTTCTCCTATAAAGCAATTCATGGTGGTACAGGTATCATTTGGCCCTTTTCATGTCACCCTGTGGGAACAAGGCCTTGGGCAAGCGGCATAAAACTGATGATACTTTGGCTATGGCCATTGCTTTGAGTGATAAACTGTTCTTTATCTCTGACCCAGAGGTCTTGTGTCTTTTGCCAGTGTCCATGAAACTGTGGCAGGTTACCTTGTTGGTTTGCAAGTAACATAAGGTCTTACTTACATCTTTCACAGTTCTTGACAGTCATATTACAGATCAAACCAAATCTACCTGGCATATGATGCAGAATACATTCCTAACTAAGATTGGATTATTCTTTAATTCTTTAAATTACTCCTTGTCTTTATAAAAGATGAGCAATGCATGATAATATCAACCCAAGTTTTTTTGCACATGTATTTTTTTGTACATTGCCAACCCTCGACATGCTCACATACCCCGGGAGCCCTTGTCCAAATCTTGCTGTGTCATCTTAAACTATTGGCTTCTACTTTCCTAGACATTTCCTAGACATTTTCCTGCATGCCACAGTACATTCTGTACCAAAGTGCTGGCAATCAGACTTGCAGCTCTCATGTCAGCCAAAGAACAAAACTGAGTGAGCTGACAGGTGCTTGGTTAGACTAATTTAACAAGGGCTGCCTGGTGCCAGCGAATCTTTAGTTGAAGCAAGCTCTGAGTCCCTGGAGAGTGACCAGATGTACTTTGGGGTCAGTGAGAAGCTGGCTGGTCCCCTCTTGACCACTCCAACTTACATCACAGTCTTTTAATCAATGTCCTCAGTGTATATACACCTTGGGTTAAACATGGCTCAAAAGGATAGAAAAATAAAATAAAATACAAATAAAAACTGTGCCTGGGGGGGAGGAGAAAGATGGCAGAGGAGTAGGAGACTTAAATTTTGTCTGGTCCCAGGAATTCAGCTGGATAGGGATCAAACCATTCTGAACACCTACGAACTCAACAGCAGATTGAAGAAAAGAATAGCAGCAACTCTCTGAACAGAAAAGTGACCACTTTCTGGAAGGTAGGATGTGCAGAGAAGTGAATCCGAGGTGATATCAGGAGGATAGATGGCAGAGGGGAGGGCTCCATTGGCCGCTTCTGGCAAGTGATAGAGCCCCGGAGCACAAAATCGGAACTTTTAGAAGTTGGCTCTGCTGAGGGATGTCTCTCCAGTGGCTAAGTGGGGGTTGGAACCCTCACGGGACAATGTGGTCTCAGGACCCTTGGGGTCACAGAAAGACCAGGGGTGCCTAGTGTGGCAGAGCTCCCAGGTATCGGAACAGGGAAGCTGGCTGCAAAGACGGAGCCGAGGCGTGGGCTCTCAGCTTGGGGTTGCCATAAACCATGATCTATGGCACAGTCGGGCCACTGCTCCTCCAGCCGGGACCCAACAAGCGGCAGATCCAGGGAGACTCCCTTTCCTCCCCCAGGAGGAGCAGCATGGGAACACACCACAGGGACCTGCTGGGTTAGGAGACTCCACATGGGGTCGTGAGCCAGAGATAGAAATGCTCGGTCACAGGCCAAGTGAGCAATGAGTGTGGCCAGAGACTGGGGAGACAGGAGTGATTGACTGCTTTTCTCTGGGGGCGCACTGAGGAGTGGGGCCCCTAAGCTCCTCTGGGCCGGAGATTAGGAGGCCACCATTTTCACTCTTGTTCTCCAAAGCTGAACGGAAAGCTTGCAGGGAACAAAAGCAACAGACAGAAAACCCAAGCAGATTACTTAGCCCAGACCAGCAAGTGTGGGGCAATTCCACCTCCTGCAAAGACATTTGGGAACCACAGCAACAGGCCCCTCCCCCAGAAGATCAGCAAGAACAGCCAGCCAAGAGCAAGTTTACCGATCAATGAGAACGGCAGAACTCCAGTGCTAGGGGAATACAGCACATAGAATTCATGGCTTTCTTCCCCTCTGATTCTTCAGTCATTCAAAGTTAATTTTTTAAATTTTTCTTTTTTTTTGAATTTTTCTTTTTCCCTTTTTCAACCAACATCTTATCAATCCCTTTTTAAAAAAATGTTTTTTATTTTTCATTTTTAGAGTCATATTCTATCCCTTCATAGTAGTTAACCCTATTTTTGGTGTATATATATATATATATATAAAGTTGTTCTCTCTTTAAAATTTTGGGATACAGTTTCTTCTAACAGACCAAAATATACCCTAAATCTCTAGTGTACGGCTTTGTTCTAGTCTCCTGCCTGATCACATTCTCTCCTCGCCCCTTTTTTAAAAATTCCTCTTCTTTCTCTTTTCCACCAACTTCTTATCAATTCCTGCTATAAAATCTTTTATAATTTTCATCTTTACAGTCATATTCCATCCCTTCATTGTACTTACCCTTATTTTTGTACATATATAAGTTTTTCTTTCTTTAAAAATTTTGGGAGGCACTTTCTTCAAATAGACCAAAATAAACCCAAAATCTAGTGTGTGGCACTGATCTATACACCAGCCTGATCATATTTGATGATACTCTGTTTTTCTTGTGTTTTTTTTT